GAGGCGAGAGAAGTGAAGCAGCCATGGCGTGCTCGGGGAGGAGGTGGGGCAGGGGTGAGCTGAGGCGGGGAGTTCCCCTGCGTGCCGCCCCCAACCCCTTGCTGCAGGCGGCCCTCCCCGCACTCCACTGCCCCAGCTCCCTCTGCCTAAATGCCGGCGGTGACCGGGGCGGCCAAAGATCTGGCCACCGCGGTCGCTGCCGAAGAAAATGGCGCCCCCCAAATCCTAGTGCCCTAGGCGACCGCCTAGGTCGCCTAAATGGTTGCACTGGCCCTGCCCCCACCCTTGTGAAACCCCTCTAGGACTAGAACTGTTTTCATTTCAATAATGCACCATATGAATTTATGGAGTAGGGTGTGTGCACATGTACAATGTACAGTCTCAGAGCCACATATATTCTAATACAAAAACTTACATTAAACAACATTGTTTTGGTTACATGTCAATAACTCAAAAGTTAGCAAGTGCCAGATTTACTGCTGTCAATGCAACCTTAATTCTGCCTGCTAGCATCCATCTTGTATGCTAAATGATGTAGGGGTCCTGTAGAAAAATAGCATATGATCATGTAATTGAAGGCTGTATCATAAAGTGAAGGTACAAGGGGCAGAATTAAGGTTGCAGTGCCAACTTTTCACATAGATTTTTGTATGTAATTTCCTAGTTTGATTTAAAGGAAAAGTATAAAAAAAACCCTAAACAACAAAAATAAACCATGCCCTCCACCATTGTGAGTGATCAGCAAGGTTTGAACTCTGACATTCAGCACTATTACACAAATCTACCACTTGAGCTACTGGGCTAATTACATTAAGTAGCAGCAGAAGGCTATTACACTGAGGGGGGCGGGGGTGAGGGTCCCAAGTGCTGCATGGGCATAGCCCTCAGCTCTCTTTCCTACCCCCTCCCCAGGCATTTGGGGACAGGTAAACAGTAATTACTGCCCTCAGAGTTGGGAGAAGTTTGGATTGGCTTCCTGTCCCCAACCCGTTCCATTGCAGCTGCCTTGAGAGCTCCAGGTATCCTCAGTGCAATGTGTGTCGCTGCTGCTTTGACGGTGGTGTGGGCCTGGTCTTAGAATGTATTATTTTGAGATTTCAGAGCTTCTCAAAAGAAGGTTGCAAGAACCAGCTCCTTCTATGCTGAAAAATAGGCAACCATGGTGCACACAAACTAAATCAAACTTGTTTTTGTATACCCCTGCTCTTACAACAATAGTCTAGACTAAAAAGAAACACAATCCGGTTAGATGTTTTCAAAAAATGGTACTACTGTTAAAATATTTAAGTGGCAGATAAATATCAGGCTAGTCTAATCCACAGTACAGTGCAAAATAATGAATATTTATTTATATGTATCTATTGTTTTAATTGGATTTAGTGGTATTGAAAAGTTCCAGATTAGAAGGCATTTATCAAGCCACAGAACAGGTAGAGCTGGGCTAGTTGAGACCGGGGGCAAGCTTCTCCACACTGTCTCCACCACAATGTGCCTCAACAAGTGACCTGTGAAAGAGAGGGCAATTCTCTTTATGCTCATCCAATCCTTGGCTTCCTGAGAGCACTAGCAAGGGTAACAAACT